GATATTTAGATAAAATGCATTTGAAATAAGACAATGCAATGGTTTTCTTATGTTAAATGTAAATTTTCTTGTTCCATTGGCAACATGTCTCTTACCTCCTCAATTCAAGAACAAATGCACTTATTTTAAGAAATAATGACTTTGGTTTTTTTTTTCCAGTGCGCTGAGAGTATGATCAAAATAATAGACTCAGAGTCCTGATACACTGCAAAAAATGGAAATCTAAAAAAGTCATTTTTGCTCAAATTAAGTGCATTTTTTCTTGAATTCGGGAGGTAAGTGAGACACTGCCAATGGAACAAGACAATTTACACTTAAAATAAGAAAAAACAATTGCTTTGTCTTATTTCAAGTGTATATTATCTAATTATCTTATTTTAGGAGTAAAAATACTCATTCCATTGGCAGATCATCTGATTTGCCTGCTCAAACTAAGGGTAAATACACTTAATTTAAGACATTTTTTACTTATTTCTAGATGTTTTTTGCAGTGTAGCAGTTTACTACAACCAATAGTTATTTACACACTGGAAAAAAGAAATTTGTTCTTAAAAGAAGTGCATTAGCTCTTGAATTGGGGTGGTAAGTGTGAAACTTTGCCAATGGAACAGGAAAATTTACATGTAAAATAAGAAAAAAAACAACAATTGCATTGTCTTATTTCAAGCACATATTATCTAATTATATTACTTTAAGAATAGAAATATTCATTCCACTGGCAAATCATATTTATCTATTCAAATCAATAAATACACCTTATTTAAGAAATTTTGACTTATTTTAAGATCATTTTTTGCAGTGAACATTTCTGGGACAGAAATGAGCCACACCTCAGTATCTCTTATACAAATATACAATAATTTTAAACAGACTTCAAATTTTCCTTTAAATAACACAGAAGAATCCCGTGTACATCCGGTTTGGTTGAGGTTTTGAGGGGCCCAAACGCAGAGGTGAGGAGGCAGAGTAGAGTTTTTGTAGATTTAATTAATAAACTGAGGCAAAAAAAACAAAAACCAAAGTACACAATACATGGAACAAAAAACCAGACAACTTCAGGGGAAAACTCACATAGGGAGCCAGGAAAAGACGAGGAACCAGCACTGAAGAACTGCAGAGGGAGAGTATACGTATATAGTAGGCTGAACAAAGACAGGACTAATGAGCTGATTGGGAGCAGGTGTGAACAGAGGAGTCTAGAAGGCGCTAGGGAAAAAAGGAGACCAACACAAGAGGGCAATCAAGAAATACCAAATAACTCAAATATATCCAGAAAACACCACAAAATAGGAATTAAACCAATAAAACTAGAATAAAAAGAAAAACATGAATCAAAGTGAAACTGAAAAAACTAAAATAAAACTTCTTAACAGAACCAAGACTGTGACACTATGCTTGATTCGCAATGAAGCAGTGGCGGCCGGCCCATAGGGGGCGCTGGGGCACCGCCCTCCCTGATAAGAAGAAACATAAAATATATTTGTGGAAATTAACTCATAAATGTCAGTTTTACTCTCTAGAGTGTGTACCTATAAGCAAAACAAATTATATAAACTACATTTCCCTATCTACTGTCATTCATTTGTGGATTTCCACACACAGACTCCCACCGTCTCTGTCTTGGGGCTCTGATTAGACAGCCCCACATGTGCAGAGAATCTGTCAATCATGTACTATTGCTAGGTGAATTTAATAATTTAATGGCCAATCAGCGTCTCAGAACTTTATGGTCTTGGGGCTCTGAAAATACTGCGCTTTAACAGGCTTCTGCACCCAATGCGCAGGTGCAGACAATTAGAGGGACGATGGCGAACGTAACGAACGAGATGCAGCTTCCACCAAATTCGGTGAGATCCTTATTTATCTACCCGTTTGCCAGAAGAACATCCCTGTTGTAGGGTATGAAAATTTCATGTCATGGTTATTGTGACCAAAATCATCACTGTTACTGTTATTATATAGTAAATTAAATGATTACTGTTAAATTGTATTTATTGTCCAATTGTTTATTTGAATTCTTATTCTGGATTAGTTGGAGACATACACTAGGCTATATCAGCCCCACCAAAAATATTTTTCGCCAGCCGCCACTGCAATGAAGGAGAAAAAAAAATCCTTCAGGAGTCTCTTACTCAAAAAAGTAAATCACTTTCAAAGTATCCTATAAAAAAAAAACAAAAAAAAAAACTCTCAGTTGTTTTTAAAAGTAAAAATGGAAGCCGGTCAGCAAAAAACAAACAAACAAAAAAAAAAAACGTAGAGCTCTTATATTAATGTTGTGTGTGTTTGCCTGCAGAATGAAAATTTCAGGACGTCCTCATTGTCTCTCTCTCTCTTTCTCTCTGTGTCTCTCGTCCAAATCGACCGTAGCATCAACAGTGAAACGTCACAGAAGTAAACTGGAGGAGCACAGATGCAACGTGCTGCTTTGAAGTCCTGCATACTTCTCACAACCTGCGAATTTCCACAGAAGGGATAAAAAAAACAACAACTTACTAACTCAAGCTGCTGCTACTTGTTCAAAGTGTAACGCACCCCGAATGCACAAAAAACATCTTTAGTTACCTCTGGGTTACAATAGGAGCTTTTATTTTTCATAACTTAATTATAAAATACCACACTTGTTCATAGATACATTCATTACACACAAAATAACGTAGTTTTTTAAGTATTTGGTTTTGATAATTGAGATAATTATGGCTTAGAACTCATTAAAATCCAAAATTCATTTTCTTAGAATTTTAGTAAATAAGGAAAAAAAAACAAGGAAAAATATTTTTGGTGCATACATGTTGTTTTCCTAAACACAATAACAGGAAAAACTGCTGAGTTGACAGTTGTTCAGAAGAAAGTCACTGACAGCCCTCATAAGGAGGGTAAAACCACAAAAGAAGCTGGAAGGTTTGGTGGAATGATAAATTATGGCGGAAAAATGCACAAAAGCCACTGTGAGAACTGCAGCATTTACAGAGTTATGATGGAAAGCTCATTTAAGAGTTTGGGGGAGATTCATAAGATGTAGCTGATATCAGAGCTGCAATATTTAGAGATCTTACACCAGCTGGTTTCACCAGGGGAGGAAAAGCTGCATTATTGTTCAGTTTTCCAATGCTTTGTTTTTATCTGAAGTCTTTTTTTTTTCATCTTAATTTGGTCATCAAGTCTAAAGTAATTTAGGGTTAGCTATTCATGTTTCGCTATAGAAACAAGCTTTATGGAAATGCTGATTTCATGTTGGCGCATACATCACCACAGGAGCCAATATCTGCCTTAACGACCACGGTATCACTGCGTCAGATTGGTAAACAGACCCCAGGGAGGAAGATGAGAGAGTTAATAATGCAGAAGAGGTGAAAACTGATCAACCTGAGCTTCCTTACTCAGCTGAGTCGCCTCCATGGTAGCGGAGCAACAGCTCCAATGTCTGTATACTGTACATTACAAAGGTTAGACATGTCTGTGTAATTTTTTTTTCTCAATTATGACTCTGTGTGTGCAGTTAGCTTTAATAATCAACATTAAAGGAGAAGATCGGTCAGCAAGGAATAATAAATGGATCATTATTTATACCTAAAACTTATACGGTCGCATAGATTTAATTAATTTAGTGTTAATCAGTAAAAATCACTGAGTCTGGGAGCGGCTATTTCTGTCCACACATGAAAAAAATCTAAATCTAGATAAGTAATTTTTTCTTAAAGTAAGTGCATTTATTCTTGGATTGAGGAGGTAAAAGAGACATTCTGCCAATGGAACACGACAATTTACATTTAAAATAATAAAAAAAGCAATTGCATTGTCTTATTTCAAGTGCATATAATCTAATTATCTTATTTTAAGAGTAAAAAACACTCATTCCATTGGCAAACAAACTCATTTTTCTGCTCAAATTAAGGGTAAATACACTTAATTTAAGATATTTTTACTTATTTCTAGATGGTTTTTCCAGTGCAAATCTAGTAACCCCTCCCTCCTGCCATCTTCCAGCAGTGACGTCACGGTGCGGTAAGCCTAGCGCCATTCTCCCCGCTTTCCAAGCTAAATCAATGGGAACTACTAGACACATCTGCAATCAACAACAATTATTGAAGATTTCCAGAGGACTTCACCATTGAAATTCACCAAAGCTATAGTGAAACTGACAATGCCCACGTGCATGGCAGCTGGATCAGTGTATTCTCATTATGAGTTCGTATGAAATCGTACGAAAAGTTATTTACCGTAATTTTGTACGTTTTGGACGTTTTTTTCGTCGTATGCGCATCTAACGCACCATTTAAGAACATAGAATGTAAATTACAATTAGCCCTAACCCTGACCCTAAGATATAAAACAGCAAGCAACGTAGTTAGAGACATGAATAAGTGATTATTGCAATGTTTTTCCCAGTTTTACGTCCGTCCGCGGATCTGCTTTTTTTTTCTGTTTGCCAGCGCATGCGCACTGATGTGGTTTTTTGAGGAAAAATGTCCAAAACATACGAAATAGTGTGCATAACTTTTCGTACAATTTCATACGAACTGATAATGAGAATATGTTGGCTGGATGTTGGAATACATCGGGTAAAAGTGAAAAAAAGAGTTATTCCACCTTTCTGATTCCTGATCCTCCACGGACGGGTTGGTCGTTGGATCGCCAACTTGAAGAGGGAGGATTTGCCATCGAACTTCTGGCCAGAGAAAAAACCCGTAATATGTAGCCAACATTTGGAAGAAGAATGTTTTCAAGATGACTTGGATAATAGCGCGTTGTGACAAACACCAGATACAGCACTGGGACTTGATCAACAGCCGATACCGCACCGTGACAATGTCACTAACCAGTAGGTGGCAGTAGTGTTCTTTGACAAACATGGATGCCTCCAGTAAAGCACATTCACATGAAAATTACTCTGAATTAAAAACAATTATTTATTTATATTTAAAGTACTTTCAGAAGTCTGAATTCTGAATAGGCCTACATACTTTTCCTTTAACAAATGAAAAAAAACTCAATATTTCTGTAAAATTTGGAAGTTTTTGTTGGTGTTTCCATTTATTTTGAAGTACCTCATACAGCTGATGCTCTTATTAACAACTCCTGTGTACATTTAGGTCCTCTTGGGGCCCCCAGTTCAGTGGAGGGTTGAAAGAGAAACTTATTATCCTTTGGTCGGGGACTCAACTGGGAAGTTCATATTAATTCAATATAGTCAGTCTCACAATGATACAGATTAACATCTTTGCACTATATTTAATCACCCTGACTGAATAAACCCCCCCTGCATGAGTGGCACAGCCATAATTTATTCTCTCTTTGCTTCCCCCCCCCCCCTGACTTACAGGAATGTGCTGATATTTTAGTTACAGCTCCCTGCATAGCTCAGAGGAACGGGAAGAACCAAAAGGTCAGGGTGAAATACTTCAGAGGCATATTCATAAACCACAATACATTTTCCAGTTGTTTGATGAACCTGATGCTCTTTTTATATTACGCACTTACAAACCAATGCGTTCATAAGCCCACATTGAGGAACTCAGTCTTCAGGCGGCTCAGCCTGGTGCCATGGCTGCGGATGATGAGGGACAGCAGCTCATGTCTGTCTTTAAGTCCCTGAGAGATGTCCATGGTTTCCCTCAGCGCGCCTTTGATGTCGCTCACTTGCTTCACCGCGTAGCCGTTCAGCTGCTCTTCCTCCTTCAGCTCAGTCTCCTGGCTTTGCTTAAACTTCCCCTCCAGCTCCACCAGGGATCTGTCCACGCTGGAGAAGGCCTCCCCGATCTGGGAGATCTCCTTTTGAAGGAGCTTCCCGTAGCTGTCCTCTCCATCCAGGTCGTGCGCCACGGCGCGGCCGATGCCCTCCAGCAGCCGCGCCGCGTCCTCCGCCTGCAGCTTGGTGATGATGAAGTCGTCGCGCACCGCAGCGTCGCTCCGCTCCGCTGCAGCGGAGCACGGAACTACATCGGAGAACTTGAAGAGCATCTGGCACTGCTCCGGGTCCACATTCTCCTCATAATCTCCGTCCGGGACGAAGAAGTGGTGAAAAGTGCCGTTTGAGATCTCAGGCTGCAGGGGCCCATCGTAGACCGCGGAGGTCGAGGGCCAAGATGTGAGCAGAATGAGGAGCAGCGGGACTGGATCCATCCTGCACCACTTCTCCCTCTCTAGCAGGCTGCATCTGGACTGGCAGCCGGATGCGGAGCCCAGTTTTCATCCTGACTCATGTTACAGTCAGTCCCACTAAACTTACAAGGAACAGACGGCCTCTTTCAGCGAGAGGGGCCCTCCTGGCCCCTTATTCACACACACACATTTTCACTGCGAATTTATGCTTCTGTCTCATTACTGTGTTATTAGAACAGAAACTGCTTCCATATTCATTTATTACTTTCTAGACAGTTTTTGAAACACATCAACATATGGGAACCTATGCTTCCTTCACACCAATGTCTTTAAAGTCGTAGGAAAGTCATATTTAAACGTCAAATCATTCTGGCTTAAACATACGGTGGTCCTGAAGCGCAAACTGCATCTACTAATCTGAAAGCGCAACTACATTAAGAAAATCGCAACTACATTAAGGAAATCGCAACTACATAAAGCAAAGTGCAACTACATTAAGGAAATCCCAACTACATAAAGCAAAGCGCAACTACATTAAGGAAATCGCAACTACATTAAGGAAATCGCTACTACATAAAGCAAAGCGCAACTACATTAAGGAAATCGCAACTACATAAAGCAAAGCGCAACTACATTAAGGAAATCGCAACTACATTAAGGAAATCGCTACTACATAAAGCAAAGCGCAACTACATTGAGGAAATCGCAACTACATAAAGCAAAGCGCAACTACATTAAGGAAATCGCAACTACATAAAGCAAAGTGCAACTATATTAAGGAAATCTCAACTACATAAAGCAAAGCGCAACTACATTAACGAAATCGCAACTACATTAAGGAAATCGCAACTACATAAAGCAAAGCGCAACTACATTAAGGAAATTGCAACTACATAAAGCAAAGCGCAACTACATTAAGGAAATCGCAACTACATTAAGGAAATCGCAACTACATAAAGCAAAGTGCAACTACATTAAGGAAAACAAAACTACATAAAGCAAAGTGCAACTACATTAAGAAAATCGCAACTACATTAAGGAAATTGCAACTACATAAAGCAAAGCGCAACTACATTAAGGAAATCGCAACTACATAAAGCATAGCGCAACTACATTAAGGAAATCGCAACTACATAAAGCAAAGTGCAACTAGATTAAGGAAAACAAAACTACATAAAGCAAAGCGCAACTACATTAAGGAAATCGCAACTACATAAAGCAAAGCGCAACTACATTAAGAAAATCGCAACTACATTAAGGAAATCGCAACTACATAAAGCAAAGTGCAACTACATTAAGGAAATCCCAACTACATAAAGCAAAGCGCAACTACATTAAGAAAATCGCAACTACATTAAGGAAATCGCAACTACATAAAGCAAAGTGCAACTACATTAAGGAAATCCCAACTACATAAAGCAAAGCGCAACTACATTAAGGAAATCGCAACTACATTAAGGAAATCGCTACTACATAAAGCAAAGCGCAACTACATTAAGGAAATCGCAACCACATTAAGGAAATCGCTACTACATAAAGCAAAGCGCAACTACATTGAGGAAATCGCAACTACATAAAGCAAAGCGCAACTACATTAAGGAAATCGCAACTACATAAAGCAAAGTGGAACTATATTAAGGAAATCTCAACTACATTAAGCAAAGCGCAACTACATTAAGGAAATCGCAACTACATTAAGGAAATCGCAACTACATAAAGCAAAGCGCAACTACATTAAGGAAATTGCAACTACATAAAGCAAAGCGCAACTACATTAAGGAAATCGCAACTACATTAAGGAAATCGCAACTACATAAAGCAAAGTGCAACTACATTAAGGAAAACAAAACTACATAAAGCAAAGTGCAACTACATTAAGAAAATCGCAACTACATTAAGGAAATTGCAACTACATAAAGCAAAGCGCAACTACATTAAGGAAATCGCAACTACATAAAGCATAGCGCAACTACATTAAGGAAATCGCAACTACATAAAGCAAAGTGCAACTAGATTAAGGAAAACAAAACTACATAAAGCAAAGCGCAACTACATTAAGGAAATCGCAACTACATAAAGCAAAGCGCAACTACATTAAGAAAATCGCAACTACATTAAGGAAATCGCAACTACATAAAGCAAAGTGCAACTACATTAAGGAAATCCCAACTACATAAAGCAAAGCGCAACTACATTAAGAAAATCGCAACTACATTAAGGAAATCGCAACTACATAAAGCAAAGTGCAACTACATTAAGGAAATCCCAACTACATAAAGCAAAGCGCAACTACATTAAGGAAATCGCAACTACATTAAGGAAATCGCTACTACATAAAGCAAAGCGCAACTACATTAAGGAAATCGCAACTACATTAAGGAAATCGCTACTACATAAAGCAAAGCGCAACTACATTGAGGAAATCGCAACTACATAAAGCAAAGCGCAACTACATTAAGGAAATCGCAACTACATAAAGCAAAGTGGAACTATATTAAGGAAATCTCAACTACATTAAGCAAAGCGCAACTACATTAAGGAAATCGCAACTACATTAAGGAAATCGCAACTACATAAAGCAAAGGGCAACTACATTAAGGAAATTGCAACTACATAAAGCAAAGCGCAACTACATTAAGGAAATCGCAACTACATTAAGGAAATCGCAACTACATAAAGCAAAGTGCAACTACATTAAGGAAAACAAAACTACATAAAGCAAAGTGCAACTACATTAAGAAAATCGCAACTACATTAAGGAAATTGCAACTACATAAAGCAAAGCGCAACTACATTAAGGAAATCGCAACTACATAAAGCAAAGCGCAACTACATTAAGGAAATCGCAACTACATAAAGCAAAGTGCAACTAGATTAAGGAAAACAAAACTACATAAAGGAAAACACAATTACATTAACCTACCGGAAAAGGTAGGTACCAGTGGGAAACATGAGACATCGCTGATTGGACGACGGCGCCGTTTGACCCTTGAACCGGAAGTTGCATCGTCTGAACAGTCCAGCTTCTTTTAAGTGTGTCTTCAGTGTACGCAAACTAACTGAAATGTCGTGATTAGTCTTGAGCATATCCAGTATCACCTCGTACGTATGTCCTGATTCAAAATATTCCTGGATAACGGCAGCTATGTTTGGGGCGCCGACAATATCCATGTTTTCAAAAGCCGCAGCAGGCAGAATGACTTCCGGTTCAAGGGTCAAACGGCCCCGTCGTCCAATCAGCGATGTCTCATGTTTCCCACTGGTACCTACCTTTTCCGGTAGGTTAATGTAATTGTGTTTTTCTTAATGTAGTTGTGCTTTGCTTTATGTAGTTTTCGATTTCTGTAATCTAATTGAGCTTTTAAATTTGTAGTTGCAATTTGCACTTCAGGGCCACCGTATAAACATGTATATGAATGGAGTCTTTATCAGACGATATTGTCCCAAAATTTAGAACATTTCTATTTTAGAAAAAAAATCCTGTTTTTTTTCCGTTATCTTCTGCAGGCCAGTTAGTTATACGTCAGCCTGAACACCTAAATTAGGCCAATCGTACAAGGGTGTAGGTTTGATTTCAACTTTGGTAGGGACTGTTGGTCTGAAAAATATGCCTGCTCATTTTTTTTATGCTTGACGGGAAAATCAGGGTGTATTTCGTTTAAAGAGAAAAGCAGCATTTCTTGCTACATTTATACAAATCTTACAAGCACTACACACACTAGATGCTGTTTATCAATGACTGAAGCCTAACTGGCTCTGATGAATGAGGAATTACGACTTTTTTCCTCTTTGAAAAGGTTTGCATTTGAAACTACTAAGACAGTAGTTAAATCTGTTGTACATCTAGTTACTCTGTTTAACCCATTTCATGTATTTTATTTAGGGCTGAAACAATTCATTGGATTAATCAATTATTGAAATAATGTCAAGAAATCAGGGGTTGAACGGTTCACAAAATCCACGGTTCGGTTCGGTTCACGGTTTCGTGGTCACAGTTTTCGGTTCGGTTCGGTATATGTTGATTGTTACACTGGAAAAAAAATCGAAATTTAGATCCGTTTTTTTCTTTTCTTAAAATAAGTGTATTTGTTCTTGGATTTAGTAGGTAAAAGAGAGATTTTGCCAAGGAACAAGACAATTTACACTTACAATAAGAAAACACAATTGCATTGTCTTATTTCAGGTGCATTTTATCTAATTTTCTTATTTTAAGAGCAAAAATACTCATTCCATTGTCACATCTCATTTACCTACTCAAATTAAGCGTAAATACACTTAAGACATTTCTACTTATTTTTAGACCCTTTTTCCAGTGTACCCCGAAATCCCATAAAAAATAATGAAATTAATGAAAAAATCCAATAAATTAATGAATTGTAATTATTGTTAAAGATCTGCGGAAACCCTGGATCATTTCCGCATTTTTTTATTGCTTTGAATATAATCATCTGGCGCATGCTCTCTACGATCTCCAAGGAACTCAGATCGGAGCGGACGGGAGCCACAGTGGAGGCTGTAGGCTTTGCTTTGAGCAGCCGGTCTGGAGCGCAGCGGGGCGGAGCGCTGACGGAGTATGAGGGATTTCGGGGTTAGCATGACATGTTGGTCCTGTCGCTGTTAGCATAAACAAAACGTGTTGCACAATGCTCGCACACTGTTGCACTTTTATCCACAGCTTTCTTCCCGCCGTCATCGTAGGTCACTCTAAATGCAAAGTGGTCCCATACAGCAGACCTATAAAGTGCTGCTGGCGCGTCTTCCAACTCCTGTTCTTTCCCACTCGCCATACCCACACAATTCTCCACAACAACTGATTTTTTTCTGCTACACCCGGCTACGCTGCTTCGCTTCTTCTTCTTGTTTACTACTGGTGGTTGGCTTTGGTCGCAGTACCGCCACCTTCTGCTCTGGAGTGTAATCGCTTCGCCTATGAGAAAAAGGAGCAGCGCATGAACCGAATGAAACACGAGCGAACCGAACCGAGACAGTCGAACCGAACGGTTCGGACGGTTTTCATAAATCGTCCCATCCCTGCAAGAAATGTAGTCATTGATTGATCGTTAACTGGAATACAGAGACTCTA